AAATTCTACTAGTACTTTCTTCGATTATTACGCAAATACGAAGTTGGTATCCAAGTATTTATTCGGGTAATGTTTTGACTTATTCGCCTTCTTCACAGCCGAAAAAATATCCTACGAAGACTTTTCTGTATTCATAAGCTCACATGATACTGTTGACAAACTTTGTTGTGGGTGACGTTCCGACTGCTTTGTCTTCACTTTCAGATTCCAGTCTACAGCCCGTTGTTAGTCGTTCTCTCTTCTAGTCGAATTCAGTGGACCGGAAATCGCTCGCAAAAAACTGCGAATATTTAGTAAGCGAACTATACAAACTGTATTGCATACCACATATAGAACGCGAGAATAACGTATAATGAGCACATAAAATGCCAAGTCGGATTACGCAGTACTTCGAAAGCATCTCTTGTTCGAGGTCAAGAGGTAAACATCTACCACGAAACATAGATGAGTCAATTATATGAGAGGAAAAGTTTTCGATAACTGGAAGAAAGAACGGCAGAGTGGATTCGAAGAGGTTATAAGCATCCTATATAACAGACACATAGACGATGGGCAAACGTGTTCGTGACTCAGATCACTGAGTTGTATTCCCAACTTGAAACGCTTTGTTGATCAAGAAATGTTACGAAGTGATAGTTAAATCGCCATACTCGGTCAGATAACACCACAGCCGACGACGGAGAAAGAAAGAAACATGGTGGATTCCGCACGAACGGTTATGAAGAGCCAGCCGACTGTCAACGCATCTAACTAATACGCTGGAATAAACCAGAACAGAAACAATAAAAGGTTACACTAATAAAAAAGGAAAAAATTTTATAGCAAGAAAAAGCTTAAAAGTAATATTTGCGAAAACTATTAAGCATAAATGACGAAGCATAGCGCTGATCTTGCGAGGGTATATTTAACATAAACTTTTTCGACTACTTGTGAGAAAAAGAGAAGTTCCACGGCTTTTACCGAGTTTTCTTCTAGCACAAAACGCACTTAAAGCGATCATAATTCATCTAAACTTCATAAATTGAGAAAAAACTATAAGTGTTTAAAAAGTGATGGGATAAGAAGTGACACGGTGTCGACGGACGACGCTGGCACGGCGGTCACGACCGTCTCAATTGCCGCTACATTATGGAGCAACGGATGCTTACAAGTGAAAATACTGTGTTAATAAAAATTATATTACTCTGATAAAATTTAAGACAGACCTTGACATTATTCACAAGGAGATCTTGAAGGAAATCGACATCGGATTTCGTCGTCGGCTTCAATCGGTGAACTGTGAATTTTCTATAAACGAAGAACTAAAAAAAGACAATAAATGTACAAATGCTTTCTGCAAACAGGTTTTCGCTAACATTTCATTCAAATCAGACCAAATGAAACCTTTTCGTGGAAGATTCGCCCTCTACAGCTAAGATCGTCTCATCTCTAGTGTTTACGTTACAACGTGAAATACAGTCGACCACAAAAAGGCACTTCTTGCCAGGAAGAAATCCAGAACTACATTCGTTTTGCTTTTCATTTTCAGTCTTCTTGCTTTGTTTTCTCATCGTTGTAACTAATAAAGTCTGGCAAGAGATTTTCGCTTTTCAAGATAAGTTGAAATCGGCACGAACAGTCATGACGAACTTTTTCTTAATGCACTAGTGAAGTCACTTACAAAATCAGTAGAACTATAGTTCAAATGTAAGCATGGGGGAAAGGAAAGAGGATCCAGAAGACCACGTCAATTGTCTTCAGGAACACCATAACACCGTGTCATTTATTGTTGAGGTGTTAAAGAAGGTTATTAGGCTGAATGATCGAATGTGATGACACTACTATACTTCCAGTTTTTCCAGTCATATCTCTTAACCAGTTAACAGTCGTCTCCCGCTTCTCAAGAACTACCGATAGTTTCTCTTTCCTAGAGTGACAATTGACGGCTTACCGTCCTTGGCAGACACTCAGCTATATTATTCTTCAGCTCCAAACTTTAGAACCTTAGTTAAACAATAATAAAACACGTTTGCTCCTCGAATTTTCAGCAAGAACACCAACCCACTAACAACGGGTATGAGAACAGATTCATGTCTTGGCAGACGAGTTACCACCTACTCAGTTGCTTCGATGCTCCAAGGAGGTGCGATGCCTGAGATAAAAAGGTGGAAACGAAATTCTGTTATTTAGAAGCTTAACGTTTCAGCTATTTGAAATAAGTAGTTTCTTCTTTTGTTGACAAGCATCTGAAGATTCTAACTGTATTTTTTTATTTCAAATATTCCACTAAATACTGAGATATTCTGGGTAAAACTGAAAGATCAACTCAATTTTCTGTGGGCCAAACACTGCTAACATCACCGCACTGTTGTGATTATATGAAAAAAAAGAGAACTGAAAAGGTGCATCTGCTAAGAATTGAAGAAATTTGGACAACCAAAGAACGCGGTGTTGACAGAGATCTTTCATACAAGTTAGAAAATCTAGTAAACTCCTCTGTTTTCCATCCATTTTCAAGCGAAAATCAATGAAATTGATCGAATCGGAAATAATCAATGGATCCACAAAAACAAGGAAGCTACATTAGGGAAAAGTGTCTAAAATAATGGATTAATAATTGTAAACTTAAGAAAATTAAAGAAGTGTGAAGTCACTTAAAATTCGAAAAGAAACGAAGTTGGAAACTCGTCGCCATAACGATTGTCACTTAAACATACTATAGAAATGGATCTATGAAAGGCAGAATAGATTACTCTACCTTTTCTCCAGAGCATCTCATTCCGTCCTGAATTATTTGCTATGGCTATTTACTCAGTTTTCCTTCCCCTTCCCTTAAAACTACTGTGGACGCGGACCTATAGCTAATTATCAAACCACTACTCAAATTTGAGAAAGTACTACTCTCATTGACAATGGGAGTAGTACTTTCTCTAGTAGTAGCACATATAGTACATTGATAGTACAAGCGCAGTTATCTACTACAACGAAGAAGAAAACTGATGAAAAAACTGGTAAGAAAACTTACGAATATTTCCTTTTCACTTACTAAGGAAAAACGAAGAACACATGGAAGCCTAAGGAAAACACGAAATTAAATCCATAAATGGTTCTAGAAGGTTTCAGAATTGGATATGTCAAAAAAGGTATGATTTTATATGTAAAATAAGCTTCGTTACCATTTTTTTCCTTTTTGGGTCCACTAACCATTTAATAATGGCACATTCCAGAATAGCTTACCTTGAAATCGATGACCATATCAGCAACGACAAAAGTATGACTAGAAGACGGTAGGAGATCATCGACTCCTGCTTGAAGCAGTAGCAGGCAGTAGTGGTAGTGGTGGTGAGGTGAAGTGAGTTGAGCACGAGGAACAGCACCGGTCAATCACGATGACTGTAAGCTACTCGATATCGATTGGTATCGACTAATCAGATGAGCTCGATCACGACTGGTAACGTACACACCACACGGCTACACAGGAAAACACATAGACAGACAGATAGGAAGATGGACACAGACGTCTATTCGAAAGCTTCACGACGTTTGGTCGACCGGTTGGTGATGATTATATACATATATAAATGCTGGTTTGAGCGACCGCACAATTCGCCACGCCCACCGACAAAAGACCGCGCGCGATTTTTCGCGGAACGTTGGTAGGTCAAGCCGCATTTCAATCAGATTTAGTTCCAATCGATAAAATCAGCAGATATTATATATTGTGAATATAGAATGTGTTATAAGAAAAGCCCACCAATATTCCTAATTTTCCTTCAAAGCTGCAATCTTGTTAACTGTGCGATTTCATAGCTCCCCAGATCAATCCCGTTGTCGGGTGATTGCTGATTGCACTGATAAATAGGAAACTAGTTGAGAGAAATGCAGAGCAAGGGCCTCCGTAGCGCAATGTGTAACGCGTGAGACCCCGAAAAGGTAAATGGTGGTTCGATCTGGCTTTGGGTCTAAGTTTTGCGAATATCTCAGCATCGTTGTGGATGATTTCGCATAATATGAAAACATTGATATTTAAACTCTGGGTTAAATTTTAAACAAATGTAATTTGAATTTTCGAATTTCGAAAATACTTATGGGAAACAACACTATAGCGCCTATTAAACAAATGTTTTATCCACGGCGCAGATGTTTGGCAAAAAATTCCATAGAAAGGAAAGAACACTACGAAATATCATTACAGTCTGATTACCTGATCTCCTTATTTATCTAGTTTAAATAGAACCTTTAAATGTAATACAAACATATTTCATCGTAGAAATTTTCGATACATCCAAACAGTCTAGAGGATTTCGAACATGAATTTTCTCACGAACTTTACTTCTTTCCCAAAGTTTCCCATTATTTGGATATAAACGTAGTAGATTATCATTAAAGTGTGAGATACGGTTGTGGCGAAAGTGAGAACAACCATGAGAGGCCAACACGGCCCGATATCATTTCGATTGCTTAAGCGCTTAACTCGCTGAAATCACGCCAAAATTGCTGGGCTTTCGCGAACCTTGGATTTCTAGGAACTAATTTAGTCCACTCAGAAGCGAAAATATAGTTCAAAGCAAATTTTCCGATATTCACCTACAAGGAAAAGAACAGTGGTGTGAAGACAAATGATGAAAAATGAAACAGCTGTTTGAACTGGTCGACAAAACATCGCAAACCGGCTTTTCTCCTTGCTTTTTTGCCTTAGAGTTTTAGTGAAAAGCATTCACTATTTTAAGAAACACCACGTGGTATATATATTTGAAGTCGCTTTACAACAGCTGTTTTGTACAGCAGCATTTGAGAGCTGTGTTGCTTGGTAAAATTCATGCGAAGTGCACAAGAAATCTTTATCACTGATTTCTCAGGTAGGAAGTAGTATGCGAACGTAGAAAAAAAAATCGGGTTATGATAATGGGCTCAAATGTAGTAGTTTTTCCGATACCAATTATATAATAGAAAAATTCTCATCAGAGATGGTCGTTTCCGGATACGGTATTTATTTTTGCAAAGAGTCGTAAACATTATAACTAAATCAACACAATAAACAACATTAAGTACAACGCTGATGGGAAAACTCGTCCAGTGGTGGTCGCAGCTGCTGCCGCGTTAAGATGTCGCGACACAGACGACGAGGCTTTCTGCGTCGTCACCGCGGCCGATGTCGCGTCTCGTCGAAGTCTGAACGACGCGCGGACCGGAATGGGCGGCGCGTAGTCGTCGCGTGCGCGAAAATTCGTGACGTCCATCACGACGGGTGGAACTCGTCGTCGGCGATTCCGACATACAGCCTGAGTGCAATCGCTGCACAGATGCAGATTACAAAATATGTTCACTTCGTTGCTGAAATTTAGATTAATTTTTGTAGTACCGTAACATCAATAATGTCTTTGTAGTCCTTAAAAAGTAGATCAACCAAAACCATGGTGGTTATCGCTTTGAAGAAAACCAGTACGTTGTGATAGCTGAGGCACCTCGCTACTTAAGAGTTTCGAGTTTTCTTTTAGAAAAATCGGTGACGAAATATTTAAACTAGAAAGGTTGGTCGGCCTAGCATTTCTAAAAAAGTAATATTTTTGTTCGAATCTCTATGATTAGCGGATATTCGTTAGATTATTAAATTCATTTCTAATTCAAAGAAGAAAATGATTACAACTATTCAGCTGTTATTTTTCACGAACCTATCACATCTATGGAGATTGTCCATTAGAAAATACGGCTATCGATTGTAGATAATTTTAATTGTTCTATTCTTGGCTGTTAGTGCTACAGCTGGCTCGTCGTTTTAAACGAAACGACAGTTGATTGCAAAACCCTAGTATGATTATTGTCAAAACTAAGTAGATTCGAGTGAAGCTATCAGCTGTTCTTCTTTCTTTCAAAAAAAAAAAGAGAAAAAAGAAAAGGATGACTTTAAATTTGAGAACATTCGAAAAAATCAGTTTCGGTTTTCTTGTTGTCACTGTGTTTCCATTCAGACTCACTTCTAACAATTTAGCGAGTAATCAGAACGGTTTTGACGAGTCATTTTTCTCAATCAAATGTTTGGGAAATGGATTTCCTATAAATATGAGCCAAAATTAGGAGCAATAAATCTATTTCTGATGAATAACCGCCAAAACTCTTACAATAACTTTACTGTTGTAGTTGACTTTTTTTTTGAAAAAGCCCATGCTCACTATGATACTTGGATACTTCGACGGCCCGTCCTCACTGGTTGTGTGGGCCTCAGCATACCTTCCATTTTTCGGAGATTTGCTGGTTAAGCTATTGTGGTTTCCTGGAATGCCGAGGTCAACCTGGCTATAGTCGCCCAAGGTCATCACCACCAGACGCGGTTCCCGCCCTTTTGGAGCAGAGGAAGATTTGCCACCATCGAACTAGTTTGATCTCAGGATGGTGATGGATCCTGGTATTGGTTTACCCTTAGCTGGATTTCCTGGTGGAAACTCTTTCTCCGCTTAGGACACCTTGCCGGAAGGATGAATCGCCCCGTTGTACATCGCAGCCCGGCACTCCGGAACACTTTCCAGCCACAATGAAGCGATAAACCTTTGGGATACTCACTATAATAGCCTTCAATAGCTCATATTCCTATACTATTCATATTTACCCACTACATCTTTTCCTATTAGCTTATATCACTTAACCAAGATCGGATTTATAGCGCATCTGAGAAAGAGAAGAGAATGAACTAATAAGTAAAAAAGTGTGAAGTATTCGATGAATAAAGAAATAAACATAATGGTGAAAATGCATGAATTAGTTTCACCATATGATTCATCGAAATATGTTTTAGACAGCTTTTAACTCGCTTCCATCATGTTATAAGTAACGTTAAACGAAGAGACTCTTCAATCAAAAAGATGATGAAGAACAAAAGAGGTACCTGGTTGGGAAGGCCCATGCCTTTATATGGCTGAGAAATGTAGTACCGTAATCATCACGAAGCACTTCAAAATCACCCCAAACCTGAAGAAAACGAAGAGGATAGGAATGAGAATGTTTTCTTGCCCCTTTGTAGAAGAATTTCCTAATCTACTAACTCGAATACTATTACATATACACTTTATATACGCGCTAACATTCCTGCATAACGCTCGCGCGAACTGTCGTCCTTTATGAGCTCATACATAGTTGTCAACACACATGGTTTTCCGTGGCTTATGTGCTAGTGATTTCGCTTTCTTGTGAGGCAATTTTCTGTCCTTAACGTTTTCTTGGGCACATGAATCCAATGTACTAGTAATGATGTTCACATAGGACGATTAAATGATGATATAATGGCGATATAGTCTTTATTTGGCATCAGTAAGACTGAATAATGCGAGTGGAATCATTTGATGTTTCCTACTCTTTTCTTTCTACTTCCACTCTTGTTCATTTCCATCATCGATTCCATATTTTCGTACTAATATTACATAGACTTCATATTTTTTAACTTTTTTTCCAACAGTTTATAGATTTCTGTGATATCCACCGATTAGAGAGCTGATGACTGAATGAAAGGACGAGGAAAACTACTTAATACTTGCCTCTCCAGCGCGTTGAAGAGAGCAACCATCGTTATCGCTAAGATCGAGTTCGCTTTTACCGTCGCTTGCCCAACAACGTCCAATTCGTCCACGACTAGATGGGCCGAGATGAACGGTATACGTCTAGGCAGTTCAGTTTTTTGATGATAAAAAAGGATAGAAAAGGATGAAGGTGGTGATTAATAACTGAATGACGCGCCATGAATTCGACTTCATTAAGCATCGTTAGAGGTGACGATGTGGCCTGACGATGTATCAAATCCAGTGCTGCTAACCTTCCATTTAAGACTAGTACCAATTTCTCTACCCTATACTTAAAGCAGGCTTGATGAACACGTGGCAAGGGATCGAAACAACGATTCCCTGTGCACTGCCGTGCACCTCTAACCACTGCGCTACACACACACCCTTTTGGGCAGTGTACATAATGAAGGTAATTTTTTAAAAAGGCCCTTTCTATTTTTTGAATCTATAAACTTTAAAAATTGAGACCTGTTTTTCGCGTCCTGATTTCATTTCTTTGTTTTTGTCGCCTTTTTAAAATCTTTCCCCATTAGTCAAACTTCAGTGACTTCGAAATAATTGTTCACTATAAGAAAGGCAATGTCGTTATGGTATTCTTGCAGTTTTTTTACATTAAAAGATTCCTTTAAGGTATCTTTACAGCATAAAACGTAAAATCAGGTATATTATACCGAAGTTGAAAATCCAATGTGGGCGATATGCCAGTGAAGATATACTTCCTTAAACTTTTAACCGCGAGACCCCTTGATTTCAATATGTACGCTGGTGTACGCTTTGGAACGTACACCTTGTTTTCAATGCGCATCATTACTATGCTTCTATCCGAGACTGTCCGAGGATTCTGATACATGTAAATGACCGTGCTCATGAAACGGTTAACAAACATAAATGTGGAGGAGCGAACGTGGCACAGACAAATGACACTTTTCTAAAATTATTGCTAGAACAGTCTGGATATTTTGACGATTGGCTTTCTGTTAACTCAACACACAGAACCTCTATTCAACTTTTACTCACATTTCGGCTCATTTCACCATCTTTAGAGCTGAAAGACTCATACCGACATAGGATCACTGTTATTGAAATGGAAGACCTAGTGTGACTCAACGACTAGGACTCCAATGGAAGGATGCTGCTCTTTCAAACCTTAGTCGTTCGAAATTTCCAAATACCTAGTAAAACAGTGTCAAAAACCAGTTCAACTTAATCAGCAGTGTCCCATTTAGATGTTCGATCGAACATTGATCTTGTTCACAACGTAATTTCCTCTATGTGCCAAAAGAACTTCGAAATGACTTTATCCTTCTAAGAAAAATAAAAGAAATTCCGAAAAATTTCCTTATAGATTATTTTCTATTGGTAACATGTTATACAGTATTGTAAAATGCAGACTCTGTAATTATTATACAGAGACTGCGTGTAGAGCAGTGCTTGGAGCCCTCCCCCTCTGCCTACAATACACGCGTGGTCCTTGGTTCAACCCACGGCCCTTGGTTGGTAGCCTTCAATCTCTCCAGAGTCGACAAAGTGCAACCAGATTCAGCTGGGAGAATAGCAGCAATGGCTTGCTACATGGGTACGCCACAGAGACTTGACCCGATCTGCATTAAATTACGTCTAACGATCTCCAATGAAGCCGAATGCATGGCGCATCCTCCAGGGTTTCATCAACGTCAGACATTTTATCCTTTAGACTTTTGTAATGATCATACAAAGAGTGGGATGGCAAATGATGCCGTTCAACACGAGCACGGTGCTGGTTCGATCCCGCTCCGAGTTTACGAAGCCTCTCAACCTCGGGTGTTAGAAAATCAGTGTCGGACTTGTCCGGAAAAAAATCACGTCCTTCAATTCATGTGGTGCTCTAGCCCAGTTATCTCAGCACTCCAGGGAGACCAGCATTCAACGACATTCATGATAAAAGGAAAATCCTCAAGCAGCGGCCAAGGCCACAAGTAAAATTTGGTAGACTTTTGCTGATAATGGATGCAAGGAAGCGAATCGAACGTGTGAAATTCTAGAATCCACAAAGTGGATATGAAAAACAGGTCTTATAAATAAATAAAAATAAATTATTGTACAAACCATCAGAGGTGAGCATTTTTACTAAACAGCTCCTTGTTAAAAATTTAGTTTATGAAGCTGGAATCTTTCTCTGTGAAAATCTCCCGCTTTTCCTTTCTCTACTTTCATCCTCTCCGTCGTGGTTTTACATTCGCTTTCTCTCCGAGACACCCCTCACTCCATATTCCACTCTTTGTCACTCATTCCTGCTCTGTCTTCCTCTCTTACTCCCACTTCACCTTATCTTCATTTCGCCCTCTGTCTCTCCCTGTCTCTCCTTAACCCTTTCTTGCTGTCTGTTTCAAACCAGCCTTTATACTTCTCACTAAGAAAATATGATAGAGTAACAAAATTTCTTCAAAAAGAACAGGAACCGGTCATTATCGTAGCTGACCGGACACAATAAAAGTTCGTGAAAAATTCCTCGCACACCTTTTCGCAACTAATTGGTTCCAGTTGTTTTAGCACAGGTTTCTTCTTTCAGTCTTCTACACTTCTCATAGAATGTTTAAAAATTGTCGTAAATTGGATCAATATTTGTTTCAAAACGCTTAGAAACAATACGACGTTCCTGTTCAAATACTTAAAGATTTTAATAAATAACCCAGCTGATGAAGTTTTTAAGCAAGCAAACTACGAATGAAGTTCATAAAAGTTTAAAAAGGACATAGTCCTCGGCGTTGATCAATTCTTGAGGGTGCGCCATGCATCCGACTTCACTAAACATCGTTTCTGGTTTTACAATGACTCGCGGTGGCCTACCGATGTATTGAGCCAGTGCTGCTATCCTCCCAGCAAGTGCAGTGTCAATTTGTCAATCTCGGAGAGATGGAAGGCTTGGTGGGCCACGGGCGCGGGGATCAACTCCACATGTGTGTCGCATGGTGCCTCCGACCACTATACCCATCATAAAAAATATACTATTACCCAAAGGCTATAAAAAATTCACTAAAAATTACTTTCTGATGCCAACACTACACTACCGCTAGGTTATAGTAGCAAACCGTTTAGTGTAATCTAAAGATGATATTCCATAGATCCATGACAAATACATAGTTTGCCACTGTTCTAATCATCGAGTCGATGGCTCAAGGTCTCACTTGGGACTCATGACTTACGAGTAGAGCTCAGTGTGTGTATCGCCTGTCGAGCTAAGGCGATCTTTCCTCTTAGTGACAGTGCTTCTTTTGCAAGTCGGAAATATCTTGCTGGTACATCTTATAGTAACTCCCAAGTCCGACTTTCTATTAACCTCACCATTGATCAAGTAATTCTTCGTATTCTCGTTGAGCAAACGCGAGGTGTTATTTTATTTCTTTATTTACGTGCAAGCTGACGTTTCCGCGGATTTCGTCTTTCTCAGAGCCTGGAAAGGTTGAGTTGACAGCAACCTATTCGGCCAAACACCTCCATAACCAAACCGAGAAAACGCTAAACCAAGATTTCAATCACATTTAGCATAGCTCTGCACACTCAGCGCTTTCTATGAGTCTTCCACTGACTATATCGCGTGAAGGCCGACCGGACCAAATTCACATGGAAGCGCAATGTGCTCCTCCCATCAGAATAACAGGTTTATATACTGTCCAATATCGCGCGTGATAACGAGGCATTCCTCCCTGCGGTTCATTTTCGGATTCTTGGAATTCATCCAGAATGCCTCTAGAGTTTTGCGCGCTTGTTTGCGCGGAGTAAGGGTTACGATCCTCGCGCAAGAATCGAGAACACAAGCGTGCAAAACTCTAGAGGCATTCTGGATTAATTCCAAGAATCCGAAAATAAACCGCAGGAAGGTTTTTTCTCTGTTTGGTTATGGAGGTGTTTGGCCTCTATATATTGTAGTCAACTTGACCTTTCCAGGCTGTGAGGAAGGCGAAATCCGCCGAAACGTCAGCTTCTACGTAAATAAAGAAATACAATAGCACCCCATGTTTGCTGAACAGAAGTAGAAAGAATTATTCAGTGTGTGTAGCCCATTGATGGGTTGGTGACTTGCATGACTGAGTTATGACGACCGGCTTGTCACCACTAATGCGACATACAACAGCAACATCATGTGTATGACATAGCCTTGAAAAACCAGTTCTGAATGTTTACATTTCTGCAACATAAGTGAATGTTTTCACTTTTGATATCAACATTTGTGAATAGTAACTCTGAGATTATTTGATTTAATTGATGAACCTCACAGCGTTTAATTTGACTAAGCATTTCATCTGGATATGAGGCACACAGGGCATGTAGTTAATCAGGTGGTTTGAATGTTTTGTTTTGCAATACACGCGCAGTCGTTGGTTCGATATTGCACGGAAGGCTAACCAACTCTCGCATTCCTCTGAGGTCTGTAAATTCGTGCCAGACATGCCTGAGAGCACAAAAACATTGACTTGGTACATCAGAAGCTTATCACAAATGGTTTTACAGACGAGGTATGCATTCGACCACCTCTGCTTCGCTACGAATTGAGTCGAATGCATTGAATGTTTTTCAGGGATTGATCAAAGTCGCCGCACCATTACACCTCGACCTCGTGAAAATCTGACGCTATAATTGAACAGCAAATCAGGACTTTTTCCATATCAAGACAGGTCTGACTTCATGTCCTCGGTTTTGCTGCAACAGTTCATTTTTTCCAACTCCGGCTAGTTTCACACTATCACAAACACTGCCTCTCTAGGCATTCTAGCATAGACTGCTCATGGACAAGTGTTTTAGAAAGAAAAAAGACAAAAGTGGGATTAAAAATTAATATAGGGCTCTATGTTAAATAATAATACTTCATAATGGAACCTACCACACGATCTCCAACTAAAAGCGGGCGCTTCAACGGGGGCGCTGAGAGATCATTACCGTCTCGAACCGTAACCTCATACTCAACCTGCAAAACCATTTTTACGCTAATTTCCAAGCAAAAATGTAATTTCAACAAGCTAAGGATATTTTTCAGGCATTAGATATCAAAAAAATGTGGTCAGTCAGTGTGAATGATTTAACGACCGACTTTTGAACTGTTAACCAATGAAATCGCTGTGGTTGCTGCATTATCGATAGTTATGCCTCCAAACGACACGGTAACCTGTGAGTCTCTGAAAAGAGCAACTTGTCTTGGAAAAGTTAATAGGTATTATGACATGAATATGGTATTATGACAAAGTTCTTGGTAATGACCAAGTGGAGAGTAGTGCATTTTATTTCTGACTTGCAGATTCTCGGAAAATATTGATTTTTGTCGTATAACAATAAAAATCAACAAATTATTAGACAAAATAGGTGTTCCATTTCTTTCAAATAAAACTGGCAACAACCGAACTTATTAAGGAAGAAAATTATTTCATTTATTTCATTTATTGTTAAGGACTCTTTGGGATACCCTGTGTCTTCATAGTGACTGGAGAGTCTTTGGGTAATGAACTGCGATGCAGAATAGGAGTTCATCTAACACCACTGTTTCCGAGCCCGAGGAAAATTTCAGTATTCTCATCACAGTGAAGAGTAAACGAATTTCAGAAAACGCTGTTATGCTGGTAACAAAATAGTAACTAGATGGTGAGTGCTGACTACCTAGGAAGGCTCTTGCGCGATATTCCCCAGTTCAACCTGCAAATTACCACAACCAGTAATTGTGACTGTGTTGGGATTCATATGGTCCTTCGCAATTAATAAAGATACCAAATTTAGGTAACCACTTAGAAAAGAGTAGCAGAGGAAATCATAAGCACTCGGTTATCTTCTAGTAATCTCTGCACTCCCCAGATTTTCTTCGAATGCTTTATTCGATCGTAAGTGAAGTACATGACGCTAAAGACCTTGAGCAAAAACGTATTTAGAATGGCTAGTGTATTTCTCTGAGTTCTTTATTTGCTCTTTCCGGCAAATGACGACATCTCTCTGTTCAATGTCGTTTGTGTTGACGAGAATGCCGGTTTAACATCGCCGATGGACCAAACAATCTTTTCTCTCCCCACAGAGGATAAATTGATATCCAGACTCGTTTGGGAAACATGAAACAACGGTTTACTTATAAGATGACCTCTGTATGCCTACGTAACCACCAAATTCACATTAATTCACATTTACCAAGTTCCATTCATGGCTGTTGAATATACAAACGCAGCACTTTATGCACGTATTCATCTTATACATTGGTCAGCACTACTATGTTAATGACCGCTAGTAGCGCAGTGCTGAGGGGTGTTCTGCAATGTACTCGTGGTCATAGGTTCGATTTCACTCCCAGAAGAAACAAAGCTCTACAGCGCTTCGCAGTCAGCAATCCTAGCACGCTTATCTGGGAAGATAAAAGCACTGGTTTTGATATACAGATAGCGCGGACAGAATGTAGCCAAAATTTGCATTAACTCACTTCTACAATGCTTAAATGGAGGTGTATACCTGGTGCTTTTCTCGAAAATTGATTTAGAAATGCATCTGTTATGTTTCGTAACGTGGAATCTTTTGAAATAGGTTCAGTTTCACTATAGAACAAGTAAAACTAATTTCGGTTTTTTAGCCATAGCAAATCAAGTTAGATAACAAACCTGAAGGCAGGATTAGCTGGAATACATGTGAGAAGGTAACGTTTATCGCTCTTAGCATCGAACACGTCATTGTTTTGTATGGTGATTTCGTTTTCGTAGTTGCCGTCTTCACTTCGACGTGTTTCACAGCCGATAAGTGGAATCTAAGAGAATCTAATGGAAACGACAACGATACGATTATGAACGGACATAAAGAGAAAGCCATTACGGCGCTAACCTTCACTTCATAATCAAGACTACGTTGAATGGAAGCATTCACGTAGATGCAGTTCGGTTCACCTTTTTCTGTTTGGATTAGACCGGTGAATGTCTCGTTGAATTTAATTCGAAGCAGGAAGTCCGTCTAAAACAAACTACATTCAATGAACAGCGCATATTCAGAACACAATGCTGGCAGTTTCCGCGTGTTACATAATTGTTAAAACATTTGGATGAGAACGTAAACTTTTCGTAATTTCCAAGAAATCTAGTCCAGTGTGTTCTTGTTTTCTTCTAACTTTCTGGTATCCTGCTTAACTTTGATTTCTTTTTTTTAAAATTCATGATACACTACCAACATTCCTGATACTGAGGCTCAGTATGTGTATATGGTTGCTTGCAAATCAATAGGCAGGTGTCTTATGCCACTAACAAAAACTATCGGAGTTCTTTAGTAGATTGCTATTATTCTAACTATTTGTAGGGCGCGTGTGGCTCAGTGGTTGGAAGCGTCGATTCACGCGCCCATGGCCCACCAACCCTTTCATCCCCCCGGGGTCGGAATTGTTACCAAACTTGTCTAGAAGAATAGCAGCACTAGCTCGATACATCGGTAGACCACCGCGACTCATTGTAAGCGCCAGATATGCATTCAATCACCTCCAACGATGCTTAATGAAGTCGAATGCACAGCGCATGCATCAGGATTTGATCAACGTCGAGAGCTTTATCCTTTATCCTTTAATCCCAACTATTTACGTGCTATTATTTCACCGACCCATCTGTCTTTCGGGTCTTAGAATTTTCGTTCTTTTTTTTTTCCTTGTTATTGCCGTTTGTGGTAATGGCTCCCTTTAAGAAAGGAGATTGGCACATGTATGTGCCGTGTATGTGGCACTCTGTGTCAATCATCGTCCTTGATATTGGTAACAGCCTCTCAGTTCCATTCTACTGCTCTTTTCGTCCATATGACGCTGACTGTTTTTGGCAGATGACTAGGCTATCTGTGCTCAAGATGTGTGTTCTCCTGGATCATGTAGATGAAATAACATGTCACGCATTCCTACGCGTTTTCCTCGCTTCGCTGAGCTCTTTGAATGTGGTCTTCGCTTCTTAGGTGCTTCTCGATGGGATGATGATGCCCTTGGCAAAACGATCGTTTGAAAGAGCTTCGTTAACAATTCGAATGTTTTTTTAGTCCTAGTCGAACAATTACTACTACACTACGATGTGATAAACGGCTTTAACAAAATGATGCCCTTCCAAACAGCTTTTTTGGAGACGGTAAGAGGTCGATGGAAAAATTGTGCTCTTTTGTTCCAATTGCAATAGTATTCGGCTTAAAGCTTTTATTTGTGGTGGGCTCACCGTCGAAGGGAAATTATAGGATGACATCCGTTTCGACACCGTCAAGCGCTTTTTCATTGTCGACAAGGGCTGGTTGAATAGGAGGCCGGTAGTATTCCCTACGGACTCCAAAATAAAAATTTGTTCTAACAAGTCATAAATATCTTAAAATAAACCAAAAATAGTTTCCTGCTTTTCTGTAAGGAATACTGAGCCGCTATGTTAAATTTTATGCACTTCATCTACTGATTATACTTATGGATTCACTCTTATTGTTCTATTTAACAACTGGATTATTTTACATTTACCATGCCAAAGCGCCCTTTATGTGATTAATAGTGTATCATTGTAGTAACTGGTCTATAGATAATCTCTCACTGGTTCTCATTCAACTCTACTATAAGCTGTGGCGACGAGCTTCTAAATAACGGAAAATTACGATGCTTGGAAAATTTCCTGACAACCACAATGGTTTTACCACGCAAAGTTAAAGTTTTGTTTAGGATAGAATCGGTGATTACTCAACTATTACAGTATAACATGATTCTCGAATGCTAATAGAACATTAGTTGAGAAGTGGCAAAGAACGATGCTGCACTGTAGCCTAGAAAAATTCTTGCAAACCCCGTTAAATATCCACTATCCTAACTACGTCAAAAGAACTGATGCTTTACTGAAAAGTATACGAGAGGAGTTCCTGTACCGCTGCGGACAAAAATCATAGACGACGATTCTAGAACTACAGGAAACTATGTCCTCTCCATCACACCAAAACCATTCTAGTTACCCACTCAGGGCTGCATGGAAGAACGACAATTAAGGCCGTCATTTAAAAAAAAGCTTAGTTCCTTTCATATCACTCAGTGAAATAGCACATAAGCAGTTATGAAGTGTCATAGTAACGAATGAAAAGGCTACCATCGTTCGGTTAAGTTAATTGATAATTACTGGGATTGGGCCATTATGAATAATAGGTGATAGAGGTTCATACTATGATTATACGTTGTTCGATAGTGATTTAGCCATTATAACAATCGTTTGAAATAGTTTCCCACTAGCCGTGTGGTCTTCTTCGTCATAGAAGTCAGAGAAGGGATAGTAAAGCATGAAACTAGTCTAACTAATACCTGGATTCGATAAATATAGTTCAAGAAATCTTAAACCGTCAAGGAATCGCTGGTCTCACAGTGTTAGACAATTTACAACTACGCATTATTTTCCTGTCTCAACTATGAAGGATTTTTTATGTTCCAGAAATGTCCCAAAGAAATTAAGAAGGGATTATGCAGTTTAAAGAGGAAGTGAATGAGGATTGTTCTAACTTTGAAAGAAACAGCGGTCTTCTAGATCTCTGAGATTTTATAACGAAAGAGAAAAGCACAGCAATGAGTAACAATGCATAAACACAAAAGAAATTCATATTATTACAAGACATCGAGTATTCTGGACCACCCTTTGATGATGAATGAGCGTTAGCTGTACAAACGAAATGATGAAGTTGACCCTTCATCTCACATCTTAGACAACTTGTTCTTTTCAACAAACGGGTTTTGTTGAACCTCAATGCGATACCGTTCCCTAGTAAACGTATCCTTCATAACGAGCGTTGTTGGTGAGAAGTTAAAGGAAACACCGGGCACAAAAAATAAAGTGAAAGATTGAGGTATCACTAAAAGCCAACGGCAAAAGAAAAAAATAAGAAAAAATAATGGAAGCAAAAAAGGGAGAAAGAGGTGAGGAAGTAGGATTTGAAGAACAACAAAGATTGGAAAGAGAGGACGAGAACAAGTCTTGAAAAAGAACGACTACAACAAGTGAAAATACATGGCAACAAAAAAGAAGGAAATAGATGAAGGAATGAAAAAAAATGATTTTAAAAAAAGGACGAAAAAGGAAAAGGAAGCGAAGGGAAGGATTGTTTGGAGGCACAAAAACACTGAATTCATTTGTCGATATGACCACAAGTTAATCTACGGAAGGAATATGCATTTAATCACCTCTTCAACTATTTTTTGAGTAGATAATGTCTTAAAAACTTTTAGAAGACTTTTATTTATCACCTTAGGGCTGTACGTAAGTGCTATGCAGTATTACTCTAACTTCGATTTATTTATACTCAAGGCGCGTATGGCGTACTGGTCGCGGGCGCCCAGTAACACACACATGGGATCAATCCCCGTGCTTTTGGTCAACCAAGCCTTTCATTCCTCTGGCGTTGGCACATTGCCAGATTTGTCTGGGATAATAGCAGCACAGCTCGATACATCGGTAGACCAGTGCGTGTCATTGTAAACGCCAGATATGCATTCATTCATCTCCAAACGAGTCATATAATGGAGTCGTTCGATGTTAGTTCACTTCAGACCAACGTGTCCAATGACTCCGCAATGCAAGCCATTCTCGAATTGCTCGTAGAGCATGAAAAGAAAATAAAAATGCACGGCTTGTCGATTGCGCAACTAATGTCTCTCTTAAAACAGTTTCTTAGTTGTTCAGACTTTAGGTGGTCTGGAAAATATTTTGCACAAATTAGAGGGTTGGCAATGAGGCAGCGTTTAGCACCAAGCCTTGCCATTGCTTTCATGTCTAAGGTGGAAGCTCTAGTTCTCGATCACTGACCCTTACTCTACTGTCGATACATAGACGATTGCTTCATCGTCTGTTCTACACAAGAACAGATGGATGAGTGCTTTGAATTATTAAACCGACAGTCAGAGTACATAAAATTTACACAAGAAAAACCTACCGAGAACTTGCTTCCATTCTTAAAGATCCAAATAAAGCTCTCAGTAAGTGGCTATGTAACGAAATGGTATCGCAAGCCAAGTAGTAAAAACATTCTAGTCCACTGCCTCTCCTCTCATCCTTCACACATGAAAAAAGCACTTATCAAAAATATGTATCGTACGGCTAGAAATGTGTGCACAGGAGAAGAGGAAAGGAAGGAATCGCGAAACCTGGCACGAAAAATTGCCATTTCCAATGGATACGAAGTAGAAACTACTCGGGTTAGAGGAGAACGATGGGTAGTTTCCCAAAATAATATTTCAAACGAAACTAGAATCCCCTTTAAGCTGTCCTTCATATCAAATGAAGTAAGTCACGCCATTAAAAAGTGCTTAAGAAAAAGTGGTCTTGAAAATTGTGTAATGATTGTTGACATCCCACCCAATACCCTACGCCGCCAGTTAGTTCGAAACCGTCTCTATGATCGTTTGTGCAGCTCAGAAAACTGTATGATCTGTCCTAACGGAAGAGACGGGGATTGCACGAGTTTAGGTATAATATACTTGATCTTATGTAATGCATGCAGCGAGGAATATATCGGGGAAACGGGTAGACCACTTTGTGTCCGCATAAAAGAACGTCTAGATGGGAGAGTTAAAAACCGTATAATCACTCTTCCAGGTACGCATAAGGCACAATATCACAATGGCGGTGATTTTGAAGTGAATGTGCGGATCCTAGCGCAGGAATCAGAAGCATCAACGCGCAAAACTCCTGAGGCGTTTTGCGTAAATTTCAAAAATCCAAAGATGAACCGGAAAGACGAATGCCTCACTACCACGCGTGACCTGGCGCCCTATTTCAAAATGATATTTTGGCCCGGAGGCGTGTCTTGCTCGCGACCCCACGTGAACTACGTGTGGGCCAGTCCCGCACGTAACATGACGGTGAGTGGCCTTTCTGTTCAATATGACGTCTATTTGAAAGTTTGATCTTCATTAACACTTTAACGTTCTTTTCCACCGAATAATAAAAAGTATTCTAACATAAAATACGTCCAGGCTCTGAGGAAGACGAAGTCGCCGAAACATCAGCCATCGATCAATAACATCAAAAAAAAATCTCCAAGCGATCCTTAATGGAGTCCACTTCATTGCGCATCCCTCAGGGATTTATCAATGCCGAAAGCTTCATCTTTTTTTTATTACTCTAATTTTAAAGATAGTTAGAACTTAAACTTGCAAAAAATTAAAACAAAGTTTGAATTGCTGGTAGAATCAATGGAGT